CACACACGCACATCCCTCCCCTGCTCTCAGACATTCACATGTACACATGTGTACACGCATACATGTAGGCACACACACGTGCACACACTTTCCAACCCCTGCCCAAGGCTAAGGAAGAGGCCACCTGGGCTAGGCTAGGGTGTGAGTCCTGTCCTGGGGTCCCAGCCCTTAGGGCCTAAGCATTTTCCTTTTGGGGTGCAGAAGGGCCAGGAAGCCTTCTGGTGTGGGGGACTGGCGGTTCCTCTCCCTGGGGGCTATGGCTTACTTGGGTCCAGCACAGGCTTCTTGTTCCTTTTCTCCTTCCCTCTCCCTCAGACTGGCCAGGCCCTTGGGCCACCCCTGGACAGGTTGAGGGGAGCTTTCCTACCCTAGGGGGTTCCCCAGCTTCCCAGCACTCCATGTTGGGGTTTGGGCCCATACCCTAGGTAGTAACTAACAGGGTTGCCCTGCCAGCCTTGGTCCTCTGAGTGTACACTGGCCCCAGGGAGCTTGTAGGTCCTTTCACATGCCCTGGCACCACTCCCCAGAGCTCTGTGTCCATCCTGCAGACCTCAGCCTTCCGCTCCAGGTCCAGGCTGCAGCAGTTTCTGTCCTCTGTGCCTCCATGTGACCTTGCCCCCCTCCCCCCATGGCAGGAGGACTGCTGTGGAGAGATTCTGCAGCAGGGTCTCGTGTTCCTTCATTTGTTCTGAGCTCTTACTGCTGACCATTAATTGTTCTGGGAGCCAGAGGCAGGGCAAGGACAAGTGGTACTAGAGGTGACAGATAATATGCAGCAGATATGTAGAGAGGACATGCCTTTTCACATGGTAAGAAGTGCAGCTAGGTGGGAGGACGACAGAGGGGTCTGGTGCTCCTCAGAGGAACTGTGGTCCAAGAGCAACCCAAAGGAAGCCAACAAGTGTGGACAGCATGTGCAGAGGCACCGAGGCAGTGCGCGTCTGGCCTGAGCAGGAGCAGCGGGGGGGATGGGGGGCATGTGGTGGCATGAAGCCAGGGAGGCTCTGTGGGTAAGAGGGAGACACTGAACTGGGGGATCCCAGAGGGCTGGAAGGTTTCAGTTGGGGTGGAGATGGGAGAAGGGAAATAAATGGTCCAATTTGGCCTTTAAGGGGCTCCTCCCTGCTGGGGAGAATGGGGAGTCAGGAGGGAGACCTGTTAGGCGGGGTTGTAGCTGCTCTCAATTTTGAGGCTGGGGTAGGGGGCGCAGCCACCAGGGGACGTGGCCAGATTCACAGACAAGATTTGCTGGTGAACAAGAAGCGTGGGCAAAGGGAGAATTCAAGACGCCTCAAGTCCAAGGCAATACACGGCCCAGGGCAGATGTCCAGCTGCCCTCTATGTATCTCACAAAAACCGAGTGAAAAGGAACCTCAGCAGCGTCCAGCCCAAGCGTGCTTTTGCCATCCTTCCGGAGCATGCTAGCTTTCCCTGGCTTGCCAAGACTTATTATTGGAGTCACCCCTTTGGCCATGGCAGGAATTGAAGGGATTCTGCTCAGGCGTGAGTGTTGAGGCAGGACATTCTGGGGACTAGAAGCTGGCACGTCCCCTCCCGGATGGCTGGTGATCAGGACAGCACCCATAAACCCTTCTCTGTGTCTGTCTTTGCATGTCTTCAGAGCGGGACGCCTTTGACACGCTGTTCGACCACGCCCCGGATAAGCTCAGCGTTGTGAAGAAGGTAAGAGCTGGCAGCGGCCTGGGCCCTGATTGCACTGGCCCCCGCTGGGAGGGAGGCGGGGAAGTGTTTGGAGTCTCTGAAATGTTTGCCACATGGATTGAAATGTAATTACAGTCAAGAAAACGTAACTACAGTGCATAAAATTAGCGCCTTTTAACTCAACATCCCTGCTCCCCGGGCATCCTCCTGCCCACCCCTTCACTTCTGTTAAGCAAATTACTGAGCCAGCAGCTTGCTCTGACTCGAGGCCTTTTCTCAATGTGCAAATGTTTTTAAGCGTGTCAACCTGCTGGCACTGCCGGCCTCATTACCGTGATGCCACAGTCACAGTCTGCCCAGTAAACAGGCAGGCCTGGGTGGCAGAATGGTTCTGTGTGTGGATTTGGCCTCCAGACAGAGGATGGGGCCTTTCCCAGCCCAGGCAGCTGCTGGGCAATCTGTGGATGGAGAAAAAGGCAAGACCCAGGGCTCTGGGGTCAGGGGCTAGGAGTGCCCAGCTTCCTGGGTCCTCCCATTCAGGGACCTGCAGTGGGGTGGGTGCGTGTGGCTCTTTCCTGTGATATCCGAGGAGCACTAATTTCTGCTGGTGGTTCAGTGAGGGCGTCCTGGGTGTCTGGGACAGCTTCCCCAGCTAGGTTCTTGGCACAGGGCTTGTGGGAGCATTTAATGTGCTGTTGTGGATTGCACCTCTCCAAGAGGAGACGTGAGCAGGCTTGTCTGTTGATAGTGGGATTTTTCTGTTACTTTCAGGATAGAACACGTGACTTTCCTGTGGAGCATACTTTTGGAAAACATTGGTCCAGGCTTGGACAATGATGTCATTAGTTCTTTTTTTTTTTTTTTTTGAGACAGAGCCTCAAGCTGTCCCCGTGGATAGAATGCTGTGGCATCACAGCTCACAGCAACCTCCAACTCCTGGGCTCAAGCGAGTCTCCTGCCTCCACCTCCCAAGTAGCTGGGACTACAGGCGCCCACCACAATGCCTGGCTTTTTTTTTTTTTTTTGGTTGCAGCCATCATTGTTGTTTGGTGGGCCCGGGCTGGATTCGAACCTGCCACCTTAGGTGTATGTGGCTGGCGCCTTAGCCACTTGAGCCACAGGCGCTGAGCCGATGTCATTAGTTCTTAGAAACTAATCCATTTTGCAAAAGGATGTTGGAATCATACTAATGGTCCTTCTGGGATGGAGCTGTTTTGGGGTCCTTGGGTCATGAGTGACTTGGAGCCTCACAGTTCCCCACCCTCTCCTGTCTCATCTCACCCCCAGGGACCTTGACAGAATCAAGCTGGATTAGAGTCGTGGGTGACTCTAATCCAGCTCTCCCACTTATCAGCTGTGTGCCAACCTCAGTTTCCCCACCTGTTGAGCAGGGACAGGGGCTCATTGAGGATGAACTGGGGTCGTGTTTCTGCTAGGTCTCTGCATACAGTGATGGTCACTGACAGCCCTGATGGTGATGGATGTGGCTTTCATCGGTCCATCCATTTGGGGGAAGGACACATTTTGGGGCCTGGGGCCACTAGCAGTGAACAAGACAAAACTCTTTCATCTGCCTGATCCCTTTCTCTGTCCAGCTTGCATCCTCTGCAGCCCCAGGCCACCTCCCCAGACCAACTCCTCTGAACCCCCTCTCATCCCTCCTACCCAGAGGGTTCACAGATTTGCCTGGCTGCCCACTTGGCCTGCTCCCCCCTCCCACAGCCCACCCTTAGGACCAGCTCAGTCTCGAGTCTTCCCTTCTGCCTGGCTGTTGTGTGCCCAGGAAGCCTCCCCTGCAGTGCCCACTTCCCTGCAGTGCTGTGTCTATTCCTGTCTGTGCCACCACAGCCCAACACAGGCTCTTCAGGGCGGGGCTCTCTCTTACAGTCCTGGTGTCCCCAGCACCAAGCAGTGTGCCTGGCATGTAGGAGAACATACGTTTGTAGGATGAGTTATAAATCATAGCACTTTGGAGGTGAGGTGGTGCTGAGTTCTCTTAAAGTTGGGCTTGATTGCCAACAAGTTACAGGTGGCAGGCTTTAAATGTGCAGCGAGAAGCCAGTGCCCCTTGGTACACATGGAACAGGCTTAGGACACCCTGTAGCCTGAGATAAAACTCTGGAGGGCTGTCTCTGTGTTCTGAAAATGCAGTGGGTGTAGCTGAGGCAGCCCTTTCCCTCCCAACCTTCCCAGTGTGCCATTTGCCATTAGGGTTACATTTAAGATTCATTTGGAAACTGGATGATCTTCCTCTGACCATTTTATCCTTCCTAAGAGCGCCGCTCATTCTTCTGTGAGGCTGTTACAGATGGCACATGTGTGCAGATCGGCATCCGTGTGCTGGGGTTGGAGACTCTCCAGCCGGGATAGATGTGGGCTTGGTGCCATTAAAACCAGGGGCTACTGTGAGATCGTTGCATTTGAAACGTGGGCTTTTATTTTAGCGAACAGGAGGTTGTAGAAGCAGCTCACAAAGCCCAGGCTGGCAAATGTCAAACCTGCCTCCAGACGGGAGCTGGGTGTGGCCACTGACAGCTCTGTGTCTCTGTCTCGGCAGTCACTCATCACCTTTGTGAACAAGCACCTGAACAAGCTGAATTTGGAGGTGACGGAACTAGAGACCCAGGTATGTGGTGCTTGGGGCTGAAGATCCTTTGTCCTGTGTGGTTTTCAGGCAGCTTTTTGATCCCAGTTGGGGCACGTGAACAAAGCAGGCACCATTCTGATCATCTCTCAAGGAATTCCCCTCGTGCAGCTGGAAATACCGCATGGCCCCAGCTGTGATGACCCTCTGTCTCCTGTCTCTGTGTCCTGGAGCTGCTGCAACAAAGCGGCACAAACTGAGTGGCTAAAACAATAGCAACTCAGGTCCTTACAGCTCTGGAGGCCCCAAGTCCAAAATCAAGATAGTGGCAGTTGGTTCCTTCCAAGGCTGTGAGGGAGAGAGAATCGGCTCCGGGCTTTTTTCTGAGCTTCTCTGTTTTGCTGGCCGTCTTTGGAGTTTCTTGGGTCATAGACACGTCCCGCCAATCCCTACCTTCACTTTCATGTGGATTTCTCCTGTGTGCATGTCTGTCCATCCAAGTTTCACTTTTTTTATAAGAACACTGTCACGATGAATTAGAGCCCTAACGACTTAATCTTAGCTTGATTACGTCTGTGAAAACCCTATCTCCGAATAAGGTCATAGTCACAGGTCCTGGGGATCAGGACTCCAACGTATCTCTTTTGGGAGGTTCAACCCATAACACCCTCTGAGGCTCCACTCCACCCTACCGCAGGGCCTTTGAACGTGCAGGTCCAGAATGTTCTGTCTTCCTCCACTACTGCCCTCTATTGCAGCTCTCAGCACTGTGGCTGGCAAATGCTTGGTAAAATGCACCTCAGGGAGAGGATGTACCAATTATTTCTTTTGCGATGTGTATGTCAAGGGTACCCCCACCCCTGACCCCCCACTCACAGCTAAAGCAGCCTTATGAAAATATGTTTTTGAGCACTCAGCAAGCATTAAAGACAAAATATAATTTCCCCAGGATTAGCTGGGTGCTTTAATTTGGAATCTTCCGTGTTCTTCCTGCAGGCCGTCTCCGATGCACAGCTGATCCTTCTTAAACCCTAGGGCGACTGCCTTCCCTCCTTTCTCTTTCTTTAACTTTTCTCATTTGCTTTTCTAATTAAAAAAGTAATTCAGATTCATTGTAGAAATGTCTGAAAATGCAGATAAGCAAAACAAATAAAAATCATCTGTAATCCCATCATCCGGTAATAACTGCGGAGGGTTTGACGCAGCGGATGGCGGACTGCGTGGGTCTGTATTGGAAAGCCTAACGGTCCGTTTGTAATGTGTATATTTATGGGCTCATTGTTTGCAAACACATTGATCATTTTTAGCAGTTTCCTAATGTTGCACATTTAGCCTCTGATTATCTGCTGTTCGGTACATTAGTAGTCTGGAAGTAGACTGGGTAAAGAGTCGAAACTTCTCCTTTCTTCTTTGCTACAGTCCTTCCCCGACAAACTCACTAGAGGTAACCAACTATGGTTAATGGGCACATGTGTGTTTTCAAGATATTTTCACTGCATAAATGTATTTCTTTTTTGCAGGAGAGTGGATCATACTGCCAGCTCTTCTATAATGTGTTTTTATTACTGAATATATTGGGGGCATCGTTTTGTATAAGAGAAAGTGCATGTATGTGTATCATGTGTGTGTGTTTCTGTCTGGTCCTTTTTCCTTTGTTTAGTCTATCTGTGTGTTGTCTCTCACTGGGAGGTGTGTGACAGCCGGCCATTGGAAGCTGCTCTGGGCTCAGTTAAACCAGAGCCCAGGACTAGGCATTTCTCCTCTCTCTGCACAGCAGCCTTGACAGCCAGAGCCCGGAGGTGGAGCCGACAGAGCTAGGGCTGCACCACACCCTCCAAGGGCCCAGGAAGGTTGGATGCTGTCGGGATGCTGGTGCTGCGTGGGGGGCGTGCAGAACTATGATTCCTCATGCCCCCGCCAGGGTCCTCACTTTCCAGAGAGGCCAGTGCATCAGCAGCCAGAGCATCTTGCATTGTGACACTAAGCTTAAATTCACGTTTATCTTTATTTACTTAACACCTTCAATCTTTTTTCTATCATCACATTCTATAGACTCTTAAGTAATCAGTGCTCTCCCAGAAAAGATTACTTGCCACAGAAATGCAGAGAATTTTCTTGCAAAGGAATTGGATGTTTTTATAAATACTTTATGCCATTTCTAAAGACTATCAATCATTAAATTCTTGATGCTCTGGGAGTTAGAGTGGCCTAGGTTCATGTCCTGTTGGGGTGTGTGTGTTGGGGGCGTGTATGACTGGAGTCTGTGTGTGCATGTGTGGTGTGTGCCTGGAGTCTGTGCGTGCATGGTGTGTGTGTGTGTGGTGTGTGCCTGGAGTTTGTGTGTGCATTGTGTGTGCATGTGTGGTGTGTGCCTGGAGTCCGTGTGTGCATGGTATGTGTGTGTGTGGTGTGTGCCTGGAGTTTGTGTGTGCATTGTGTGTGTGTGTGTGGTGTGTGCCTGGAGTCTGTGTGGGCATGTGTGTGTGTATGTGGTGTATGGCTGGAGTCTGTGTGTGTATGTGGTGTGTGCCTGGAGTCTGTGTGTGTGTGTATGGTGTGTGCCTGGAGTCTGTGTGTGTGTGTGCTGTATGGCTGGAGTCTGTGTGTGTGTGTGGTGTGTGCCTGGAGTCTGTGTGGGCATGTGTGTGTGTATGTGGTGTGTGCCTGGAGTCTGTGTGTGTGTGTGCTGTATGGCTGGAATCTGTGTGTGTGTGTGTGTGTGTTGTGTGCCTGGAGTCTGTGTGGGCATGTGTGTATGTATGTGGTGTATGGCTGGAGTCTGTGTGTGTGTGTGGTGTGTGCCTGGAGTCTGTGTAGGCATGTGTGTGTGTGTGTGTGGTGTGTGCTTGGAGTCTGTGTGGGCATGTGTGTATGTATGTGGTGTGTGCCTGGAGTCTGTGTGTGTGTGGTGTGTGCCTGGAGTCTGTGTGTGTGTGGTGTGTGCCTGGAGTCTCTGTGTGTGTGTATGGTGTGTGCCTGGAGTCTGTGTGGGCGTGTGTGTGTGTATGTGGTGTATGGCTAGAGTCTGTCTGTGTGTGTGGTGTGTGCCTGGAGTCTGTGTGTGTGTGTGTATGTAGTGTATGGCTGGAGTCTGTGTGTGTGTGTGGTGTGTGCCTGGAGTCTGTGTGTGTGTGTGTATGTAGTGTATGGCTGGAGTCTGTGTGTGTGTGTATGGTGTGTGCCTGGAGTCTGTGTGTGTATCTTGTACTTTCCTCTCCACCTGCTGTCTCTCCCACCTCCTGGTGTACTGGGGCAGGTAAGATGCTGTGACAAGAGGAATGACCCTGGCTGTGACAGGGCCTGTGCTGTGAGCTATCAACTTCTGGCTCCCTGGAAGCAAGTCCTCAGAGCTGTGTGCACTGGCCGTCACTGGTCACTTTGGGCACCGGCCAGCATCCTTTTGGAGGAAGATGCCAGTGTGCTCGACCAGGGTGCCTTCATCATCAAGCCTCTGTTAAGACACCACGTACACTAAAAAACATCCTTTCTGATTTCCTTAAAGGGAGGAGGAGGTGACTTCTTCATGCTGAGGGAGCCCGAGGCATGTGGCGGGCAGGCTTTGTGTCACTCATCTGTCGGCTGACCGAGTCCAGGCCCAGACATGGCGTGGGGCCCCTAGGGGCTGGCGCCCTACTCACAGCTGCTTCATGTTTTCTAGCTGGGCTCCCCTTAACATTGGGTGTTTGTGATTCTCACCTTGCACCTCCAGGTACAATCAAGGGCTGCTTAGGATGATGGAGAACCTGCTGCCTCTGTTTTTTTTTTTGTTTTTTTTTTTTGTTCTTTTGAAACAAAGTCTTACTCTATCACCCTCAGTAGAGTGCTGTGGCATCATAGTTCACAGCAACCTCAAACTTCTGGGCTCAAGTGATCCTCCTGCCTCAGCCTCCCGAGGAGCTGGGTCTACAGTCACCTGCCACAACCCCCCTCTAGTGTTTCTATTTTTAGTAGAGATGGGGATCTCACTCTTGCTCAGGCTGGTCTGGAGCTCCTGAGCTGAAGGGATCCTCCCACCTCTGCCTACCAGAGTGCTGGGATTACAGGCGTGAGCCACCTCGCCCAGCCTCCTGCTGTTATTTTTTACGAGATGCCCTCCCATCTTCACACTCTCAGGTTATGCTCTTCGAGCGGCCAGTCTCAGGAAGCCCCTCCAATCTGTCCAGTTGCCCTGCCTGGGAATCTTCTAGACCGGTGCTGACCAGTGGAACCGTCTTCTGTGATGGAAATGTTCTCTAGCTGTGCTGTCCAGGATGGCAGCCACAGGCCGTGGGTGGCTGCTGAGAACTTGAATAGTGGAGAGTGTGACTAAGGAGCTGAATTTTATATTTTGGTTCTTTACAAAATTCCAATCAAAGAGTTGTAGCGTCTGGTCGTGCAGTCAAGTTAATGTGATTAGCGTGGCCAACTGTGCGCTTAGAAGGGGTGAAGGTGGTGAATTTCAGGTTATGTATATTTTGAGTTAAAAATTAATTATAAAGAAAAATCAACATAAACCAGACAGAAGAAGACAAATACGGTGGGACTTCACTTACACGGGCTCCCCAGAGGAGCCGATGCATGGAGCTGGAGCGTGGAGTTGGATGCAGGGAGGGGAGGAGGTGGTGGCCCCTGGGTGCAGAGTTGCCTGGGAAGACAAACGTCCTGGAGGTGGATGGTGGTGATGGAGGCACAGCAGTGAGTGCGCTTGGTGCCACTGAACAGCACAGTTAAAAATGGTCAAGGTGGTAAATTTTGTGTTGTGTGCATTAAAAATCACAATAAGGATGGATAACTCAGCAGTGTTCAAACAAAAACATTTAATTTAAACAGCTGCATGTGGCCAGTGGCTGCCTGTTGGACAGCAGTGCCGGGCCTCCAAAGGCTTCTGGTGGGAGGGAAAGGTACTGCCCACCAGTCCCCACATGCACCCTGCAGGTCATGAGCCTGTCACGCCCACGGCTGACACTGAGTGCTCACTGTGTGCTGTGCACCCCTGCCCAGCCTTTTGCGGGACCCCCTCACAGCCCTGAGCAGTGGGAGCCAGTGCTATCCCCAGTCACAGCAGCTGGGGCACATGTGCAGACCCCAAACCTCGCCCCCTCCTGCTCCGTCTCTCTGGTGCCCTGTGCCGGGACCACTTCTGCTGCTTGTGCATTAGGAGCCGGGTCTCCTCACACCCAGGCGCCTCCCTAGACCCCAGGTTCTTTCTCCTCACACCCAGGCGCCTCCCTAGACCCCAGGTTCTTTCTCCTCACAGCCAGGCGCCTCCCTAGACCCCAGGTTCTTTCTCCTCACAGCCAGGCGTCTCCCTGACCCCAGGTTCTCTTGGCTACAGTGAAAAGAGGGGTGGATGGCTAAATATCACACCCCACCCCCGGAGTTGTGCACGTACTCCCCGCCCCACACACTGCCCAGAAACATCACCGAACGTTTCTCACAGTTTGCAGATGGCGTGTACCTGGTCTTGCTCATGGGCCTGCTGGAAGACTACTTCGTCCCCCTGCACCACTTCTTCCTGACCCCGGACAGCTTTGATCAGAAGGTGTGTGCACAGTCTATGTTCTTGGTAGCGGCTCCAGAAGTGCTCCCTGGGATGTGGAGTAGAGAATATTCTCACAGCTCTTGGTGCAGCCCAGCTGCATTCTTCAAAAAATAAAATGGCACAAGCGATATTGCAATTCGATGTAACTGACAGTACAGAAAGTAAGAAACCTGTTGGCAAGTCACAGTAGATCCAAGTTCTGTTGGGGGCGGCGCCGTGGCTGACCCCTGCAATCCCAGCATGCTGGGAGGCTGAGGTGGGTGGATCCCTTGAGCTCTGGAGTTGGAGACTAGCCTGAGCAAGAGTGAGATCCCATCTCTACTAAAAATAGGAAAACCAGCTGAGCGTTGTGGTGGGAGCCTGTAAGTCCTAGCCCCTTAGGAGGCTGAGGCAAGAGGGTCATTGGAGCCCAAGTTTGAGGTTGCTGTGAGCTGTGACGCCATTCTACCCAGGGTGACAAAGTGAGACTGTGTCTCAAAACAAACAAAGAAACCAACAAAAGACAAAGTTCTGTTGGGCATGTCCCTTTGGGGTCTCTTGCATGGGACTATGTCGTTTTTAGTGAATAGGAGCAAATGTCAGTGGAACCGCAGACCCTCCCCCGTTCTGCCACACACCTGTCACCTTGGTTTTCCCTGGTTTTGCACGAGCTTCAGCGGTGACACAGAGTGCCGAGGAGCAATTCTGTCGCTGGCATCTTCCTGTCCTCCGCTCTTGGGCAGTCCTCTTGAATTTGTTTCTGGTTTTTTCCCTACTCAAACAATGGGCCATCTTCTTGACTGTGTATATGTATATATATATTTTTCTTATTCTTCTACTTTTTTTTCATTCCTGTGGGTTGTTTTCTTAGGAACATTTCCCGAATAGGATTGCTTGAGTCAGTCCTTAAAGCCTGGGCCGCCCCACCACCCGGTGCCTCCCGCCTCTGGCCTCCCACAGTTAAGCCTCCGTGGCAGCACTTAGTGCTTCGCCGTCAGAAACTTGGCCGTGGACGGCTGTATTGCTGTGGACTCACAGGCATCTGTCATTTTATTTTCCCAAAGTGCTAGACCCGTGAGTCAGGGAGGCAGACAGTGGAAGCAGCAGAAAGCGGGGCCAGTGTTTACCAATCTGCCCACTCTGGCACCTTGCGGTCTGTTTGCTTGTAGCCAAATGTTGTTCCTGTCTTGCCTGCTGAGATGGAATCAGCACAGATTAGAGAGGTCTTGGCACCACGGAGTCCATGCTGAATGGAGAGAGCACTCGCACAGAGGGAGCGAGCAGAATTTATCAGGGACGTGGGTGCCTCGCTGTTGTTCTGGGAATGAGATGACAGGCAATTCATGGAAGAAATTCCTGCCTTTCCAGGCCCCAGCACGGCTGATTGCAGAGCTATCATTTTTGGAGTTATTCAAACTGATAAGAAATGCTGGCAAGAGCAGTGGGTTTAGCCAGGAGGGCTAGAACTGGGTTCTCGACAAGGCTTTGTACAAATGGCAGAGGCAGCTTCTCCTGGGCCCTCCTTTCTCCCTTTGAAATGAGGATGAAAGTCTTTGTAAGCTACTGCCCTGGCCTGGAAGGGCGAGAAGGCCTGAGTCATCGCTGAATAGGAGTGAGGAAGGGAAGGCTATTGCTATTTTAGGGCACAGGGAGCAGCACGCCCCATGCCCCTTCACCTGGCAGAGAGGAGCCTCTGGTCTGCTGTGGCTCTGCGGGCAGCCAGAGCTCTCCCTCCTCGGGGAGGGCCTGTGGATGCTGGTAGTCCCCTCCCCAGCCTCAACTGCCCCCAGCCCTGCATTCTCTTCCTTTCCCCGCAGATGGTACAACCTGGGATGGTTATCATCTACCTCCTAGTCTTCATGACCCCAGGCAAGTAGTGGTCCCCACAGTGGAGGACTGACCCACTTCATGGGGTGCCCAGCACCCGCACTCTGGGCACTGCCCCCAGATGGGATGGTGGCAGCACCGTTACGTGTATTTCCTGTGGGGGCCTCTGCCTTGGCAATCTTTGCAGCAGCCCCACATCCTGGGGAAGGGATTGAGCTTCAGGGGACAAAGCTGGGGGTATATCATGAGCTCCTATCCCTGGGCACGGTGACAACTTGTTTTTAAACAATTGGATTAGACTTTTTTTTTTTTTTTTTAATGAGATTGGGCAGCTCAGACCTTATAGTTTCTTGCTGACAAGTGAATGGCCCCTGGGAGGTACCTCAGGTGTGTGAGCACGACCCTCGGCATTTTGTTTTAAAGCCACTGTGTGAGCCTTGCTCTGTGCTGGCTGCAGCACCAAGCACCTCACTCCCGCTGGTTGTTTTCTGTGAGATTCCGCAGACCTGGCTGTCTGTGGAGCAGAGTGTGCCCTGTAGAAGTGGCGGTCACGCCTGGAAGGAGATACTAGAAAGGGCTTTGCTCTTTCAAGGTGATTTCCCCTGTGTCCCCTTAGCTGATTCCCTCGAAAGGGAAAGGGAGACGCAGAAAGGCTGAGAGACCAGCCTGAGGCCACATGGCCAGCAAGGGCAGAGAGGAAGAGTCCACTCCTACCCCAGAACCTTCTGTTTTTTTCTCACCTGGAAGAGAGAAGGATCTCAGGGTGTCCTCCCTGTGTGCTGGCCTGAGTGGGCTTGGATGTGTAGCCTGGTCCCCACTGGCCTCAGGACCTTCGTGGAAGTCCTGGTCAGGGAGGGTGGGCTCCAGCCTCGTTAGGGGCTGCGTGCTGTCCGCCTGCCTGGTCCAGGGCCCTGGGCTCGGGAAGCTTCTCTGCCAGGGTGTGAAGGATTGCTGGGTGGGGGAGGTATGGCCCTGACAGATAGGGAGCACAGGAGGGTGGTAATCTCCTCTCTGGCATTTCCTCCGACTGAGAGGAAAGCGGGAAGAAAATCTCTCTCCAAACCAACAGCCATGCAGCTGAGGAGCTGCAGTGAGGGAGCTTTAAGGCCCCCCCCGAACTGCTGTCTTGTGGGTGGGGGGACTGAATTCGGCGCCTGCTCAGGGTGTCCTCCTGGGTGCCCTCGTCTCGTCCTGTCGCTTCTGCCTGTCACCTCCCTGTGCTTGGGGAAAGGATCCTTCGGGCTTCGAGGAGGCGCAGAGGCCTTAGGAGGTGGCTTCAAACTGATGCCAACTAAGCATCTTGCTGGGGAAGGAGCTTGCCAGTTCTCACTCTCCACTGTCCTGTCTGCTTCTCCGCTTGAAGCCTGTGTGCAAGGCGAGCGTGCCTCAGTGGGTTAGGCAGTTTAGGTGGTGGTGGTCGGCGAGTGGGGACTGGGGGTGGGGGGTGCTTGGAGAACAGACTTGGGTTCCAGGTCCAGACTTACGTGTGTTTGGGTCCCAGCTCCGTGTCTTAGCCTGTGGCTTTTCAGAGCGCAGACGGCCTGGCCTTTCTCAGCCCAGTCCCTCCTCTGCGAAGGGGGATTGTGCCCACCTGGTACAGGGCCACAAGGGGAAGCAGGCTCTGCCGGATCTGCCAGCCCTACGCTGGGTGCCCAGTGACCACTAGTTGGTCCCTGCCCTCCCTTTGTGGGAGTTGCACTTGGCACTCTGCCCCCACTTCCATGCCTTCCCAGCCCTCCCCACCCATTGTCATGTATGTTGGGGTGTCTGACGTGTCATCTGTTATTGGAAGGCAGTTTCCAAGTAGGCCTTCCAAGAAGCCTGGAGCCTCCATCTGGTCATTCCAAGCCCCATTGCCCCCGTCCCCTGGGCCGTGACCCTGTTCTGAGCCCGCTGGCTCACAGTTAGTGCTGGCAGGTCATTGTCCTCTTTGCTTCTCCGAGCACAAGCCACGGCAGCTTGGCCGGAGCACCTCAAGCTACTTTCCAGCGTGGTGGGTTTGACTGAGGGTCATTTTGCTCAGCATCTGCTCAGCGTCTTTTCCTTGGCTAATTATTAAATTGTATCTCATGTAAGATTGCCTGTGTTTCTGATTCATTTACACTGACATCATGAAAATGTTATTGTTGAAAAGATATGCGGTTTCTAAGAGCCCTGAAGCCCTTTTCAACTCTGACATCTACTCTTTGCTCACAGCAGGTGAGTGGCTGGCGGTGATTGGGCAAATCATTTGTGTCTCTCTGACTTGAGTGGACTTTGTTTTGTTTTGTTTGTTTTGTTTTTTGAGACAGAGTCTCACTTTGTCACCGTGGGTAGACTGTCCTGGCGCCATAGCTCATAGCAGCCTCAGACTCCACCCCAGCTATTTTTAGAGAGAGAGTCTTGCTCTTGCTCAGGCTGGTCTCCCACTGCTGGGCTCAAGCAATCCACCTTGAGCCTTGACCTCCCAAAGTTAAGTGGACTTTAAATGCAGCTGTGAAGACTTACTTTAAATCTCTTTAGCTGTCATTAGCAGAATAAAGCTTCAAGCATCCTTGGGGTTGAGTGGTATGAGACCCTTTAATTCAGGGAGAAGCCATCCAAGGTGGGGATGTGTCTACCTTTCAGTGGCATGTAGTAGGACTGGGGCCCTGCAGGCTGACACTTGTAGCCACCATTAATTTGACTTAAGATCTGTCAGGGTCCCATAGGTCCATAGTGCCAGGGCCCCTGTGCTCAGGAGCTCTGTGTGCTGCAGAGACAGCTTCATGGATGGGCCAGCCACGCCCTCCCAGGCACACACAGCTCTGTACGTGCAGCAGTGCCCAGGGCTAGTGCCTCTGCAAGGAACTCAGTCTCTCTGAGCCTCAGTTTCCTCATCTGTAAAATGGGTCCCTGCCACTTCTCATCATGTGTTTGGGGCAGAGCAGGCTATTGGTGGCCGTGAGTCCTTGAGGGCAGGCTGTGGACTTTCATTTCTATCTCTCAGCCCCAGATCGTGGGTGGATGGGTGGGGAAGAATGATCTGGTAAAGATGTGTGGCCCTTACAGACTCCATTCTCTCTGCCTGCCCTGTGCCCTGCCCTGTGCTCACTGGGTCCTTCAGGACATTACCATTGCAAAGCTTCAGTCATAGCCACACTTGCTGCCTGGGGAGGGGACAGCTGCTGAACTCCGATGTGGACTCTCTTTCTTTGGCAGGTTCACAATGTGTCCTTCGCCTTTGAGCTGATGCTGGACGGAGGCCTCAAGAAGCCCAAAGCTCGCCCTGAAGGTAACACCCTGACTCTGGGCCCCTCCGGGGAGGGAAGCAAAGCAGGTCTTAGTAGTGACTAGAATGTTGGATGTGTTGTCTCCCGGAGAGGCCACAAGGGTCTGGCTTGTGGGTCGCATTCTGCTGACCCCAGATCCTTGATCTCTGCATTTTGGAGATAAGTAGGACCTTGGTGGCAGAGCTGGCAGTGCTGGCTTCTTAATAACAACTTGACTTGGAAGGACGTGGCCTCCGCCCACAGACCTCAGGATGAAGTGCCTCTCCAGTTGGGCACTCAGGATGGAAATGCCATTTCATGCCTTGAGATGATGTTAGCGGCTCACTGAAATGTAATGAGTGTCGGGTTTCAGATTCCCTGATGCTCAGTGAGGGGTGGTGCTCAGAGCAGGAGCTTGGCAGTTCACGCTGTATAGGTCTGAACTGTCGGGAGAGACCAGCGGAGCCAGGGCCAGGGGTCACCTTCCTGTCCCTACCTGGCTCTTGTTATGTTATCTATGCTGGAATGACGCGAGGGAGCATCAGAATCCCTGAGAGAGCTTGTCACTAGGCGTTTCGGGCAGTTGGGCTTGGGGTGTGCCCAGAGCTGCCCATGAGCCCCTGCTCTCTGGCAGGGCAGAAAGGAGACCAAAGGCTCTGACTAGTCCAGCAGGAGGAAATTTCTTGGCCTCCATCAAAACCTGGCCACATCGGAGGGGCCCACAGAACCCAGACACTGTGGTTAGCACCCATGGGTGCTCCCGTGGTGGTGTATGATCAGGGAGGCTGTGATGCCCCCACACCCTCTGCTGGGGTCTGCTCAGCAGTGGGATCTGCCAGGTCTCCAGAGTAGCTGGAGAATTCTGTCCTCCCTGCCCATCCATGCCCTAGGCCCCTAGGCCCCTGGCTGCCTCTCTGCCTCTCTGCCCCCTCTTAGGAGCTCCCATGTGACTCTACACCCTCCTCTCCCATCACGCATGTGGCTGTGAATTCCTTATTATCCCTCCATCCTCCAGAATGAACCCCTGGGAGACAGGGCATTGTTCCCTGTGTGCCTGGTGCTGAGAACAGTGCCTGGCCCATGCCTGCCCAGCAGTGTCAGGTTGGGAGCATCAGAGAGGGAGTGAGGTGAGGTGCCCTCTGCACAGTCCAGCCAGCCTGGGTCTCATGGACTTCTTGCTGCTGTAAGGGGGTCATACGGGAGTGATCGAGAAGGTCAAATGCTCTGCCACACCTCGCTGTGCATGCTGGGGCGGGTTACTTTGCCTTTCTGTGCCTGACTCTTTGCAGCTGCACAGGGGAGTGATGGTGGCACCTGCCTCTGCCTCCCTTGTGGGTTGCTGGGGTGGGATCACATGAGTCACTCCTGTGAGCACTGGGAGAGGGTCCTGCTCACCAGACCATGCTGGGTCCCTGCTGGCTTTACTGTTGTCAGCGTAGCCTTAGTGGCCGCATACCCGGGGAGGAGTAGTCCTGGCTCACGTCCACTGTGGCTTCTCAGCCTGGCCAGGAGTTTCCTTTGGTGTCTTCTAGTCTAGAGTCCCAGGCCTGCTGCAGCATGGGATGGGCCCTCTGGGCCTCCTAGCTGCTGAGAGAGCCCTGGTCCTTTGTCCTCTTTTGAATAGTGAGACAGGGGCCTGTCCAGAGGCCTGGACCTCGTCTGCCAGGCCGGCCTCAAGGAAGGGTTTTGCCCCTCAAGCTGGGTTTGTGTTTCATGCTCATCCCTGCAGTATGGCATGATCCGGAACCCACCGTGCAGGATGGAAATAGGCCAGAGGCAGATGGCTGGCCCAGGGCACATGGCAAGTTCTGCCTCTCTGGGGCAGGTCCCTGGGATGTCCCAGGGCCTCCAGCCAACCCAGGCAAGGGGCCAGGCTGCCCTGCTGTGTTCATTAGCACCTTTGATGGTCCAGCCCTGGGCCAGGAGCCAAGCCAGGAACTTGTGAGACGGTCCCTGCTAGGCCTTTAGATTTTGTGGTGATGCAGTGGCTGGAATCTCTTTCCCTTTGTTATTCAGACCAAGCTAAGGAGTAAGAATCAGGAGACAAGAGACATGAGAATGACATGGAGAATGAGCACTGAGCCCTAGGCCTCCCTGACCTCCTCCTCTGAGTCAGGCTCCCCAGGGCCCTCGTGCAGGAGAAGGGTGGACTTGAGGGATGGGGCTGTGAGGGCTAAGCTGGCCTGATGGTCAGTCAGGTCCCATCCCCTGGGAGGGAGCCTGGGAGAGTCCCCAGTGGAGGTCCTGACACTGCCCCAGAGGGCCCCTTTGCTGGGAGAGGGCCTTATCATTCACTAGAAGTTTGTATTCTAGTGATGGGGCAGGTATTTTGGGAGCACAGCGGGACCCATGTTCCACCTGGGGAGGGGCTGAGGTTTGCAGGATCACAGAATGGGATTCCTGTCCTTGGGCACAAGTGTCTAGTGGTGGCTATGGTTGTAGGGGTCTGGTGGGCCTTGGGAAAGTTGTGTTCTGTTCCTTTAGCAAGGGTCTTGACGTTCTCCAAGTTCAGACCTGGGAGCTGCTGATCAGGGATGCCAGTGGCTGGGCCACCACTCTGGTCTCCCTGTCAACCCACTGCAAGGCCACACACCTCTGAGAGCTCCTGCACCCCTGCTGCCCTCTCCTGGGTGGCCTCCTGCTCCATGGCCCCTGCCCTCCCTCTTCTGCTGCCTGCACTGTGTGGCTGGGGGAGCTGGGCTGGACCTGCAGGCCTGGGGTCACCCACAGTGCTGGGGCATTTCCTCACCCGACTGACATGAGTTCAGTTCCGGTTTTGGTCTGATGGTACACTGTGGGTCTATCACCTCCTCACCGTGGGTCATGTCATCATCTTTGCAAAATGGGAGGGAAGGAAAGGAAGTTGTGCTAGTCCAACAAGGCCAAGTGAGAGTCTGGACACTGGCCAGTGGTGAGCACAGTCTCTGGTTCACAGTGGCTTCCTCACAGGCTCCCTCTAGATCCCACCTCCTGCTCAGCTGCCTGCAGGGCTCAGGCATAGGGACCACCGTGTGGTTGCCTTCGAGCCCCAGGGAGTCAGGGGGCACTGTGCTGCTCCAGCAGGGCTGAGCCCCAGATCATGGAAGTCACTTACCTGAGGTCACAGAGCAGGTGAGAACAGCTAGGTGCCCAGCTCCTGAGAAGCTCCCCTTCCCACCAAGGACTGAGGTTCAGACTCACAGGGCCCCAGAGAGAACTGTCGGGTCCATTAATGTTACTCGGTTATTTGGTTCCCCCGTAAATATTGTTGACCATCCTTCACACCAGGCCCTGGACATGACCTGACACAAACCCCAGACGGGCTGTCCTGGGCACTTGTCTCCTTGGGATGTGGTGGCCTGGGCTGGGGGCTATTACAGCAGTGTGTGTCTGGGGATGGACGGCGCTACCCTGGGTATCCTGGCTGTGGTGGCGATCAGTCTGTAGGCAGAAGGGCTCTGCTGTAGACATGTCAGCTTGAGGTCTAGGGCTGGGAGTGCAGCTTCCGGCAGCCCTTACGGGAGGACAGATAGACCTCTGAAGGGACAGGGGTGCATTCTGTCATCTGCCAATGGTCTCTCTGTTTCTTTCTGCAGATGTGGTGAATTTGGACCTCAAATCCACCCTGAGGGTTCTTTACAACCTGTTCACCAAGTACAAGAATGTTGAGTGACGGGGAGGCAGCAGCCGGGACAGTCTCCCAGCAAGAAGAGCAGCATCTTTCTGTGCCCTGTGCCCTCCCAGGGAGGTGCCCCAGGCTTCCAGTCCCGGCCATGTGATTGCCACCCCACCCTGCCTTTCCTGGGTTAATTTCCTTTGTCCCCTTGTTTGTTGTTCATCTCCTCCCCAGGCACTTAGAGCAGGCAAGGCCTCTGAGACGCGGGGCTCCAAACACCAGTGCTCGTGTTTGCGGCCTCGCCTAGCCTCCTTCCACGATGCCAAGTCAGGTCTTGTCTGCCTTGACCAGAAGACGAAAAGGAAAAATGCCCAAATCCCAACGCTCTGCCAATCGAGGGCCACCCTGTGTTCCATCTGACAAAGCAGTTGGCCATCACAGGTGCCCAGAAATATACTGGCAGCTTCGCAGGAGGGACCTGCTCCCCAGGGACCCCAGTCGCTCTCGGAGAGTCTCCTGGGCTGGGCTTTCCTTGGTGGCAAGGCCTTTTATGTAAATGAGTTTTCTAGTTTAAAAAACGTTAAAGTCCCAGAAGCTTTAGGTGTGATGTGAGCGCCCCCCACCCCACGTTGCTACTCCTCCTTGGCCACTCAGTGTTGTTTTCATTTGGCTTTTGCACAAAGAACAAGACCCGGGACAGCCCAGCTGCCACAGTCCAGGAAAGAACAGAGGGCCTGTCTTTATTTCTCACTCGGCTGAGGGGGCTGGGTGTGGCGTTGGCTCTGAACGTGCTACTCGAGACAGCTGGTGCCAGAGCCCGCCATCTCAGAGGCCCTGCTCGGGGATGGGTTCATTTTTAGAAACTTTGAAGAAAGCGGCTGCGTGAGTTCACTTCAGATGCTGTGACAGAGTGCTGCAGACCCAACAGCTCGGTCCTAGAGGCGGGGAGGCCGAGATCAAGGTGTCGGCTGGGCTGGCTGCGTCTGGGGCCTGTCTCCTTGGCTTGTAGACGGCCACCTTCTCCCTCTGTCCTCATGGTCATCCCTCTCCTCCGCATGTGCCTGTGTCATAGTTGCCTCTCCTTACAGGACACCAGCCCTGTTGGGTGAGGGCTCACTCTAATGACTCATTTAAACATAATGACCTCTTAAAGACCCCAGCTCCAATGTAGTCACATTGTGGGAGCCTGTAGTCAGCATGTAAATGGCGGGGGGGGCACATATAAGGTGTTCATCCCACTCTTCCTGGGGCCCTAATAACATCTCCCTTTAAAGCACCCTATTAAAAGAAATGCTGGTCACTAGTTTATGGGCTGTTCACTCTTCTTTTCCCTGGGCTCTGGAGAGAAATGGGGGTCCCACTGGCTGCGTGTCCTGGGCTGGCTCCTGGGTCTCGGCGGGTTCTGCACCATAGCAGACTCCACTGCAGCCTGATTCTGGCTTGGGTTGATGACCCACCAACTGCCTGGTCACCTACTGCAAAGGGGCCTCAGATGGGCCTTTCTAATTTTTCAGATTTTCACCTTCTTGCTGTAGATCAGAGTTTTTTTTTTTTCTTGTGTTTGAGACTGAGTCTCACTCTACTGCTCCAGGCTGGAGTGCAATGGAGCAACCTAAAACTCCTGGGTTCAAGCTATCCTCCTGCCTCAGCCTCCCTAGTAGCTGGGACTACAGGCGTTCACCACAATGCCTGGCTAATTTTTTCTATTTTTTTTTTTTTTTTTTTTAGTAGAGATGGGGTCTCACTCTTGCTCAGATTGGTCTTGAACTCCTGAGCTTCAGGCGTCCTCCCATTTTGGCCTCCTAGAGTGCTAGGATTACAGGCATGAGCCACCATGCCCCAGCCTGATCAGAGCTTTTGAGTAAGTTGTTAATATTAAATTGAATGCCAACACTAAAGTTTCAGAAAACAGTTTAATATGCTCCGTCAGTTCTGGTTGTTGCCAGGCTGGGGATGAGTTCAGAATAGCCGTTTTGATGGAGGTGGTTTCCCAGCAGGGGAAAGAAATAATTAAAACAGCATTACAGCATCTCCTGCGGGATGCAGTGACATTAAAGAGCCACACTGACAGAACATCCAGGACTGGAACATTCTGTGCCGCCTTCATTACAGGCACAGAATCGCAGTACCCTCGAGCTGGGGAAATGGGATCCCCCCGCCTTGTTCACAGGTGGGCTTGGCAAGGGTACCCCCCTCCCTGGGGTGCCAGGATTCGAAACAAACATAGCCCCGGATTCACTGCCAAAATGGGGTATTCCAGCCCCATTCCATGCCATCGAAGGGGAAGAGAAGGTTACCATGGCGGGGGGAGTGGTCTTGTCAGCCCCCATCTGCAAACCCAGTCTTGTGCCTGCATCACTCTGTTCTGTGTTTCAAGTAGAACAATAAAAGGAATGATCAGTCTGTGGGGAAACTGCACACAGGCACTCCAGTGCCACAGGCAGGGACTGTTGAAGGCCACGACTCCAGCAGAGGGTGTGATCTCTTGTATTATAGAGAAGTGATCTTGCCCTGTGGCCCAGGCTGGGGTGCAGCGGCATGATCACAGCTCACTGCAGCCTTCAACTCCTGGGCTCAAGTGATCCTCCTGCCTTGGCCTCCCAGGTAGCTGAAACTACAGGTGCCTGGTTTGGATATGCTCTTTTGTCCAAATTCTTTACAAATTGGTTCAGAGACGTGAATGTGCCTTTTGCACACCTATGAACAGCCTTCTTGGGCTGGACACGTCGCTTTCTCCCCCCTCCACATTCTGTTTGAAACCAAACTCACAGCATGGTCGGGATGGATGCATCCAGGGCCAGTGCCAAGGCAGTTGAGAGGCCGCTCTGCTGTGGGTCAGTCCTTTTTATTTCCCTTGGAGTCAGTCCTTGCTACACAGTGGGTTGGGGAGGATGACTGACAGGATGTGAGGCTCAGAGTGTGAGCTGCTCCCGGTGCTTAGTTCAGAGAAGTTCTGGACCCTTTCTTCTCACCCCACACCACTTTTCAGTGAATTGTTCTTCTCTGGAGAGGGACCCTGGTGCCTTGGAGCTAAGGAAAGGCAAGGTCCTTTGTGTCCACCCATGAGGGCCAACGCCTCAGCAGCTATGGCTCAAGTAAGTCTACAAGGCTGGAGTAGATGGTTGGGCAAGGGCCATGGAGGACTTGCCCTTTGTCCTTCTGTGTGACATGCTCTGGATCCACCCAGTGGCTCTGGGGGATCCACTTGCAGCTTTGCTTCCCCTTAACAACCACCCAGCATTTTGCAAGTGCAGAGGCCAGAGCCCACTGGAAGTTACGAACAGCAGTTTTGTGTTACAGCAGCTGAACCCTTCCCCTTCCCATCTTGTATACTGGTATTTTACTCTTTTTAAAATTGTTTTAAGCAGTGTTTCCTTTGGATTTCTGGATAGTAAATAAAATCCACTAAAACCCTGTCTGTGCTGTTGGTCAGGCCCACCTGGCCCACTGCAGGAAGCAAGTGCTTCTTCTGAGCACGCTGCCCAGGGCCAGCTTCCTAAGCAGGAGTTGTGGTTAGAAGATGCTGCCTATGTCACGATGAGCTGTTATTTATTCTAATAAAGAACTTGTGAGCACGCGGCTGCCCTCTGTCTTTGTTTGGCTGCTGTTTCTACCTTTTGTAAGTTAGTGGTCATTGGTGGTAGCAGCCCAGGGCTGGGTGCAGGGCTGAGCTATTCCACATAGCCCTGCTGCCTGTGAGCGTGCAGTCAGGCAGGGAAGGGGCTTCTGCTGAGGCGAGGGTGGCCAGGTGGGACCATGAGGGAAAGAGAAGCAGAGCCCCCAGGGTGAGTCTGCCCATCTACCTGGTGCCAAGCCTTACAGGGACAAGTGTTGCGACCCATCGGGCTCCTATGGCCCTGGTCTCGGTTAGCGCAGGAAGGAACCAGGCGAGAAGCCGATTAGAAGTACAAGCTTATGGAAGGCAGGCTAGCCCTTACTTTCCGGGTAGCCCCGAGCAACCGCTGCACCAGCCTTTTATTGAAAGGGAATGATACAGGTGAGGGGAGTAATTAACAATGACTACAGGCTGAGGGCACAGGCTCCTCCCACAAGGAACTCCTGTGTAGGAATGGCCCGAGATCCACGCCTCAGCTGCAGATCATCTTGCTCGGATATTGGCATCTCCTATAGACAAGGACAGTGCTAGGGGCACAGGTCAGATAAAAATCCTGCTGCAGGGAGGCGGCCTCCTCCTTGCCCACTGGAAGGGATGTGAAGTCACGCATCCTGATTAGTAAGTGTCCACTCTTAAGTCTGTAGGATAAGGAAGGGGCCCCTGCGTGATGGAGGTGCTGGCCTCACCTTCTCGTGTTCGATGTTGGCTCTGCTATAAACCCTCCTGGACAGAGTCATGGGTATCTTCGGATGCATCAAACTTCGCTAAATGATCTTCAGACTGTGACTACTCCAGGATGACTGCCTGGAGAGAAAGGTGGCAATGCTGGAAACAGAATGAAGCTAGGAATTATAAGGTGTGGCTGACAAGAATCCAGGCTCTGGAGAAATGCTTGACTCCAGCTTTGTCCCTCTGACTGCCGATGAGCTCATTGACCTGGTCCTTCAGCAAAAATTCAACCCTCCCTCCTTCAATCAGCCATCCTCAGCCAGGGGTGATTCTGGCCCTCTGACCTTTAATGCTATCTGGAGACAAGTGAGGTTATCATGACTCAGTGACGAGGTGCTTCCGGCATGTGGCAGGTTGAGGCCGGGACTGTCCTCCCAAGCACAGGACAGGGCCCATCCCCACAGCAAAGGGTGTCTGGCCCCAGTTGTCTTTGTGCATATGTGATGAATGTGTGTGTAACATAGCAAGAGAGGAAATGCAGTAGTTAATCATTACAGTCCTCTATCAGGGAATTTATGTAGCCTTGAGGCATGATAGTGTATTGCCCTCCCTACCAGGTGAATGTTTCTTAACGTCTGTGCTTATTTTGATAGAGAGAAATGCATTCACTAGTTCAAGAGCTCTGTACAGGAAATCAAAGGTTCTACTGATTTGCTCTAGTAGAGAATCACTTTTGGAGCAGTGGCTGTGATTGGAACCCCACTGATTATAATTTCCAGATCCCATCTGTCTTCTGCACAGGCAGAAGCAGCTGCCCTGTCAGCAAGGTTTTGCTTTTGCTTGTACGATTTTGGTAGGATCAGGGCGCTCAAGACACACCCACTTGGACTTTCCCATAAGTGTCCTCATTCCTCGGGTGAATAACCCATATGGGAGCCCTTGTCAGTCGGGGAGGTGGGTGAGCTGTCCCAGGTCTGGAACGGGTTTGGTGCTGTGACCCTCTGTCATGTGCTGCAATTCAGGCCTCTGTTGAACTGCCCTAGATATCTTCTTTTACTGAGTAGCTCTTTGGAGGCTGCCCATCTGTTTCTATCCTAAGGACTCCAGGGCGACCACTTACCCACAGCCCAGCAGCCCTGTAGCTAGACCATCCTGTGTCTGGCTCTGGCCCTCCTTCCTGTTACAGCTGCCATGCCCATTGTGGTGTGGAGTTTTTGTTTTGTTTTTTTTTTTTTTGCAAAATTGGCTACAGAAATTTCCTTCCCTCTATCCATGCCCTTGTGCTGTGAGGATGCTTTTTTCCCCAGCTATTTATTATTTATTTTTTATTGTTATTATTTTTTTGCTGTGAGGATTCTTAACTAGGGTGTGTGATGCTTGGACTTAAATGCATGGTACTATTCTAATTCTTAGGGTCCCTCTCTTCCCCTAAACAATGCCCTGCCTTTCACATAGAAGGCTTGGTGAGTAATTCCGCACCAGATGGGATGAGATTCTGCATCTGATTTCCAGCTCCATCAGCCCTGCAGCCCCAAGAGATAAGAGATTCTTATAGGCCTGTCATGGGACTCCCTGGTGCTCTGAGCATAGCTTACATTGAGAGTTTAAAGCCCTGGGACTGTTCTTTCCTTGTTTTAAACTCTTTGTGTGATGATAAAGAGCAGCCCTCCCAACCCCTCAGTCCTTGGATAACCCACACAACTCAGCCTGCCAAAGCCAGGAATTTACTAGGCACTTACTCTGAGTGATTACAGGTAATTATTTTGCCATCATATGCTGTCATCTATCAGAGTTCCATTCTCTAATGACTATTGGGTTCCTGCTGCCTTTAAATCAACCAGAACAAGTAACCAATCCAGGTTCCCCACATAGAGATTATGTTCTTGCAGTTTCTGATAAATCGGGTATTAATTAGGAGTCAGTTGCAGACGACTAGAACCTCATTAGCTGTTTAGAGTAGAAGGGAATTGAATGCAGGAAATGACATGATCCCTGCTCCCTAGAAGTCCGTACGCAACCATGGCAGCAGGTGCCCTGGAATAAGGCTGCAGAGCTGGCCTGGGAAGGAGCTGCCCTGCCCTGGAAGCTGCCGAGGGACTGCTGGCCCAGAGTGTAATTTCTGGGCTGAATATTTTCTCCAGCTCACTCTCCACTTTCTGTCCTGACCTCTGTGGACTGCACTGGGCGTGCTCTTGCCTCTAGCTTCCAGCTGGATGTGGCCAAGGGTAGAGGGGAAGAGAGGGAGGCCAGGGTATCTATCCTCTAGCTGTGTCCCCTGCTGGGTTGGTGCCATGGGCTGGCTGTGTCCCCACCAGCGGCCACAGCTTCTATCCAGTGGCCCCTCTTAGAGCTTTACTGGTTTTCTTTCTGGGCCCTGGCATCAACTCCTTTGCCCCTAGCAGCTCCCACACGTTCCTAGCCTAGGGTACAGCACCGTCTCCTCTGGGTCCCCTTACCCTTTTTCCAATAGTCCTCCCTCCCTTTTTTTCTTTGAGACAGAGTCTCAGTTTGTCACCCTCAGTAGAGTGCCATGGTGTCGCAGCTCACAGCAGCCTCAAACTCTTGGGCTCAAGTGATTCTCTTAACTCAGCCTCCTGAGTAGCTGGGACTATAGGCGGGCCATATTGCCATACTCCCATCTATTTTTAGAGATGAGGTCTTGCTCTGGCTCAGGCTGGTCTCAGACTCCTGAGCTCAGGCAATCTACCCACCTCAGCTTTCCAAAGTGCTGGGATTACAGGCATGAGCCGCTGCACCCACCCCAGTAGTCCCTTTTGTAAATGCTCTTCAGTGCCCACATTTGAATGTGCCATCTCTTTGCTGCTGGGATTCTGAATGACGCACCTGCTCGGCTGTGATGGAGGTCTCAGAAGCCACCCCTAGAACCACTGGGCCTGAAACCAGGCTAAGCTTGCTACACCTACCCCAGAAAAACATGTCCTGAGCACAGCTGCTTCTTTCCATGCTTATCACCAAGCCCAGTGTCACGTGGGTGCTTAGACAGGGCAGAATCAAGTGCCTCCCCTCCTTACTCTGTAATGGGAGAATGATCATTGTACCTACCTCACAGGGTAGGTTCCAGTAAAATTAAAGCCTTAAAATTTTGTTTGTTTCATTGTGACTATAAATATTAGCCCTAGTAACTACTGATTTTCATTGTTTTTATAACTTCTCATAAACAGCCCAACGTTCCTGCTCTCATGCACCCCTTGACCCTGCATCCCTCCTGATCTGGCCACTTTTCTACTGACACGTCAAAGAGAAAGGGTGTCCTGGTCACCCAGCACATCCTCCCCTTTCAGAGACCCACAGTTTCAGCCTGGAGTGTGACGATCAGCTTGGGCCCGAAGTGTTCTCTGCCCTCCGTGTTGGGCTCTCTCCATGGTGAGGCCCTCTAGGCCTCTGTGTATACAAGGTTCTCACTCCTCGTCTTCAACTTCGAACTCCTGGTCATCCGTCAAGGCCCGCTCCCTTTCTGGAGAGGCTTCCTTGTCCCCCAGGCAACAACAGCCATTGCTCTTTATCACTGAGCCCACTCTGTGGCAAGGTAGGCCTGGCAGGTGGCAGTGAGTGAGACAGACCATTGCCCCGAGGAGCTTTCAGTGGGGCTGCAGGTATTAACCACAGCTGCCCGGCGAGGGAGGAGCTACTGTGGATGGTGCAGTGAGGGAAGATTTCCCAGGGGAGGAGGCATTTAAGCAGATGTGAAGGGCAAGAACTGAGCAATGTCAAAAGCCAGGGCCAGGGCTTCCAGGCAGCAGGAACAGGACATGTGAAGACACTGAAGCAGGGAGGAACATGGTGCTTTCAGAGAGTAGAAAGGTGGTCGCCATGGCTGGGAGAAGTTAGGGGATGAGGTTGGAGATGCAGCTGGCAGGTTGCATATGTTGGGGCTTGCAGGCTGGGCCATGCAGACTGGATTTTAAGAGCTATTGGATGGGGCTTTGAGTGAGTTGGGATGGGAGGTGAATCCTGTGCCTGCTTGGGGCAGGGGCAAAATGGGGCATGGCCAGTATGGAGTCCAAGTGGGAGGCTCTGGTGTGGTCTAAGCGAGAGGAAGGGGCCTGGAGGGGTGTGGAGGTGGGAGGATGTGCACTTTCTAGGAGGGACTGTGCGGAGGACTGGAGGTTAGCTGGTGGCTGAGGTGGGGGTGGAGTCACTCCCAGGTTTCTGGCCTAAGTAGCTGCCGTTTGGAGACAGGAAGAATGGGGAGGAACTGGCTTGGTTTGGGGAAGGGGGTGAAGAGGGAGAGAAATAAGCAATCTGAAGTTTGAGTCCCCTGTGCCACTTCTGGGCTGGCCAGGAGGCGGGGCCGGTCACTGGGCTCCTGGGCAGAGCTTTCTGGTAGGTCTGTGGTGGCTAAAGCATCCTCCCCCCACCCCCAGCCTGGGGCCCTGCCAGGCAGAGAGGAAGAAGCTCCTGCAGCCTCAGAGCAGGCCCCGGAGGAAGTGAGCAGCGGGCCCCTGCTCCTGGCCCAGCCCGCAGCCCCCAGGCGGCCTAGGGAACCGGAACCTGCTTTTATCCAGACCACCATTGGCGCTTCCGAGGCCTTCGTTTCCCTGTGTGGAGAAAGCAGCAAGGTGAGTCCTTGTGGCACCTGGGCCCAGGTGCATCCACACCTGCTGGGAGGTTCCGCCTGTCCGCCATGCTTGGGTGCCAGGTTCACAGAGGGAGGAGTCCCAGATGCCAAGTGGAAAGGAGCCTAGAGTCTTAGCTGAGGTCACACCAGCTGGCACCCTGAGCCCCGGGCCCCCTCCTGCCACCCACTTACAGACTGCTCCATCCTCCCGCCTCATTTTAGGAAGTTGTCGAGACCCCCACAGGCACAAGGGCCCCGCGGTAACTCTCATGGCAGCCCTGGAGCAGTTCCGCTTCCACCCACAGCCTCCCCTTAAGGCGGCCAAGCTGGGGAAGAAAGCCCGATGCTCCTTCATCAAATGCGGAAACTGAGGCCTCGGGGCAGAGGGGGACTCACCTAGGGCTGGGAGGTAGTCCCTAGAGGTAGCTCCAGGTCTACGTCCACTCAGCTGCCTTTGACCAGCATTGAGCCCAGGCCCTCCTCGAAAAGGTAGGTACGTCAGGAACAGAAAGGGGCAGGGGTTTGTCCCAAGTCACACAGCCAGAGTGGGGAGGAACGGCTGAAACCCAGGCCTCCTAACTCTAGGCCAGGGCTCTTTTCTCTGCCCCAGCCAAGGCCCCTATGCTAGCATCTTAGTGTCCAATAGGAAGCTGGGGATTGAGGAGCCTGGAGTCAATCCCAGGGGCCGGTCTCCCCACTCCATGACTCAGGGCATCAAGGAGCCCCTATCGTCCCTGAGTTGCTGCTGTTCTGACGGGGGTGGCTCTGGTCCTGTGAACACCCCCATCTCACAAGCTCTGGGGCTCCCTGCTCTGACTGCCAACTTCTGCCTTGGCCTCCCTACCCCAAATATCTGAGTGAGTTAGTGAAAGCTGGAAAGCCCAGAGGCCGAAGAGAGCCTGGGGGAGGGCCAAAGCTGCCCGCTGAGCCAGTGAGATCTCCCCAGGAGAGGAAGTGGGCCAAGGGGAACAGGAAGGGGGCTGGGCTGGCTTCTGGGTCTGCCCCATCCCAGCGCGGGCAAGCCTCGGCCTCAGCCCACAGCAATGAGGATGGGGGAGGCAATGATACCCGTAAGCGCTGGCCCTTCTGACAGAGTGTGTGCCTAGGGCTTCATGGGGCCCCCAAAACACCCCAGAGGTTGGGGGCTATAGCTTCACTGAGGACAGCCTCATCAAGATTGAGGCCAGGCCACCCCTTGGGAGCCACGTTTGCATGGAGGGAGCACACACCTGGTGGCAATGGCCCACCCTCCCGTGGTTCACTCAGGCAAAGGCTGGCCAAGCCTGCTCTGGGCTGGCCTGTCTCAGGCTCCGCAACCCAGAGGGGTCGGGTCAGTTTCCACTGGAGGTCAGGGGGATGTTGTGATATTGTCCACACGTTCACCTCTGCCAGCCCCTGCAGGCCAGCCTGGGAATCCCCCTTGAGTCCCACACCTCACACTCCGAGGAATGGGCTGTACCCCTCTTCCTCCTGACTACAGGGGTGGGGGCTCCTGTGTGGAGGCTGTAGGAGGGCAGTGGGCAGTCTGCTCTGCCCTGACCAAGGGAGAACCGTCCCCAGACCATCCCCTTTGCATGGCCTGTGCTTTTGGCCCACATGCCTCTCCCCTCCTCACAAGGTCTGGTTCAAGGTCCCCTCCTGGGCAGATGCAGTGACTCGTCCATCAGAGCCTCTTGTTCAGAGGAGATGATGACCCCGAGTGAGTTTGGGCCTTCTCTGTCCCCCGCATTTTCCAGGGCAGGCCCAGGAGACGATGGAGCCAGAGGCCCTCTACAACCTGCTGCAGCTCCCCAAGGCGGTCCTGCCATCGGAGGAGGAGCTCCTTCAAGGTGTGTGCCCATGTGGGTCCGAGGGGCAGGCAGCGGGTAGGAGGGTCTGCGTGGCTGAGTGAGACAGGTTGTGTCCAGGAATGTGCACGGAATGTCCAGGAGAGTTCCGCACCATCAACCCAGTTCTGCTCACCACGACTCTGCCTCACGTGTGACACTTGCCCCAGTCCTTCTCCTGGCACCATCTGCAGAGATGTCCCTCTGGGCTAGTGACAATGTGTTTTATTTTAGGGGGGAGGACAGAGTCTCAAGCTGTCACCCTCAGTAGAGTGCTGTAGTATCAAAGCTCACAGCAACCTCAAACTCTTGGGCTCAAGTGATTCTCTTGCCTCGGCCTCCAAGTAGCTGGGACTTCAGGCACCTGCCACAATGCCCGGCTATTTTTTTGCTGCAGTTATCATTGTTGTTTTAGCTAGCGTAGGCTGTGTTTGAACCCACCTGCCTCGTGTATATGGCCAGTGCCCTGCCCACTGAGCTATGGGTGCTGCCCTGGTGACAATGTTGATCATGATGGTAAATGCTGACCACTACACTCACTGTGAGCCTGCTGAGTGCTGGCACCGTGCTCAGCACTTCTTGGGCATCCATAAGGATGGGCATCATTGCCTCCTCTTTACAGACAAGGAAACTGAGGCACTGTGAGGCGTGTGCCAGAGTAACGGGTGACTCTGTTAGCTGTGCTCGGGTTCTGAACGCATGGAGGGGCCCCTGGACTCAGGTTGCACACCCTCCGTGCAGGCTTCCCAGGCCCTTGTGGGGCTACGGTCTGCTATGGTCTGCTCCCGTCTCACCTACGACTCTCCTTTCAGTGGGGCAGACACGGGATCAGAGTGGTTTAGTGAGCATGTATCACCCTTCATGATCCTTCCTGGGAGTTGGTGACCACTGCCCCCCAAACCTCCCTCCTAGGAGATGGTTTGAAAGAAGGATGCAGGTGGGTACCCAGAGCTGTCATCATCACTGTGTTCTCTAAAAGGTGCAAACTAGCACCAGCACACCAGAGCAACTCACATGTCCCCGTGGGGCAGGGCTTTCTGTGAACTCACTGGAATTTATGTAACCGTTAAAACATAAATGTGATGATGAAGAAAATGTACGAAGTCTTGAAAAGAGCAGAATGCAACTTGCTAGGTCCTGTGAATCCAGCCTGTTAACAGTAGGTGCAGTGGAGCAAGAATCCCAGTGCCAGAAGGGCCCCCGGAGCAGTGAGTGAACCCCCAGAAGGGACGGGTGTCACCTGGAGTCTCCTGGCCAACTTCTTCAGTGTCTGCTGTTCTGTTTATAAACCGTGTGAGATTGAAAGCACCAGGGGAAACCTACAGACTTAGGGTGGCAGGACTTAGTTATCTGGGGGGAAAAAAGTTTTGTTTTTTTTTTTCCTACTATTGATTTAGAGATACCCAATGTTCTGGCCAGCAAAGCCAGGGCACGGGATAACTCTGCTCTGAGAAAGGGCAGCACCACATACAGTAATCTCGCTTGCTCACCTACTCACATGTCCAAGTGTGTGTCAAGAGCTGGTCGTGTGCCAGACACATCAGCCCTTGAGTCTGTGTGACACAGGGCTGTGTGACCTCAAAGGTTGTCAGAAAAGCCTTCACCTGGGTCACGTGAGAGGCAATGCCTTTTGTCAACTTAGGCAGGGTAGTCCCACTGCTGATTCTGTTTCTACCAGAAAAGTGGGACCAGCTGACCTCAGAGCTTCCTTTTGGTCTTGACTTTTTTTTTTTTTGCAGTTTTTAGCAGGGGCTGGGTTTGAACCCACCACTTCCGGTATATAGGGCCAGCACCCTACTCCTTTGAGCCACAGGCACTGTCCTGGCCTTGACATTTTATGGGTTCTCCTGACCAAGGCCTCAGGGAAGGGGAGCTGCCGGTCCCTAGAGGGCCAGCGGGGTGGGCCTCACTGCCTCACCCACGCAGGGGCAGGTAGACCTGGGTCAAGTCCCAGCTTAATCCCTCGAAGCCCAGTGGACCCAGCACATCATTCGGCCTTCTAACCTCCGGTTTCATTTTATACAGGGGAGTAGGCCGATAAAATACAAGACACCCAGTAAAGTTTGCATTTCAGAGAATCAAGAAATAATTTCTGAGTTTAAGTATTTGTTAAAATGTCAATATTGGGGCGACTGAGGGTGAGCTGGCATTCATGAAGGCAGCAAGGGGAGACCATCAGGGCAGAGTGGCAGGACCTGGCTCCCCTGGGGGCTGAGGTCCTGGACCCTGTGGTGACCTGCGGGGAGAGCTGCCAACCACTTCCCACTCTGCTTCCAGGAGAAAAGAAGAAATACCTGCCGCCCACTTCCCGGAAGGACCCCAAGTTTGAAGAATTACAAAAGGTACAGCAGCCCTGGCCCCTTGGAGATGGTCTTCTCATGGACAGATGGGGCACCTGGTGGAGGCAGCAGGACACACCCACTCCTGGACCTCAGGCTGGCAGGTGGTGAGCCCTGCAGGTTCCTGGGAGGCCTGTTGGATGGTTGCAGGAACCAGCATTTATTGAGCACTGACTGTGCTTTCACACACACCATCTCAGCCAACTCACAGGATCAGAGGGGGATCTGTGACCCAGGGAGGGGACAGTGGGACTTAGAGAGGTGCCCTGACCTGTGCAGACACGTGGCTGCCTGGTCACAGGGCTTGGGTCTGACCCAGGCTATTGGCCCCTGAGCCTGTGCTCCTTTGCCTGCCCACGGCAATGGAGAGAGGATGGGGCAGCAGTGGGCCTGAGCTGCCTGGAGCTCGGTTCTCTCCTTGATCATGGGTCTTCTGCTGTGGCCGCTGGACCAGCTGTGCTTGGGACCTCTGCTTCCTTTGGCCCTACTTCTCCAGTCTCTAGGTGGCCTCTGTTGCCACCAGAGGCTTTGTGGGCGGGCCCTTTTAAATCCTCTTCCCCATCCCCTCACTGCTTCCATCCCCAGTTCCCAGCTTTGGCAGACACACCTGGCATAGCTCTGTGCTGGGCCCTGGGGACACGAAGAAGGACCATGCACGATGCTGATGGAAGGGGTGGGTGGGGGGTGGGTGACCAAGCTGGTTGTGGCCTGTGGGGGGACCCTACCTGAGGGGCAGAGGGGCTGGGGTATTTGCACTCCACCTCCTGACAGGGTGGGGCCTTAATTCCCAGTACTCTGGCCTGCGGAGCACCAGTGGGGTGGGGAAGGCCCAGCACAGCTGTGGGGGAGCAGGCCCAGGGTCACTCCAGTGGCGATGCCTGGGTGGGTGGGGAGGATGCCAGCAGGGCTGCCCCAATCAACTGGTAAACTGGGTGGCTTAGGCTGAGAGAAATGCGTGCTCATGGTCCTGGAGGCCAGAGCCCCTTAGCCAGGTGTTGGCAGGGTTGTTCCTCTGGGGCTGGAGGGAGAATCCATCCTGTGCCTCTCCCAGCTCTGGGGCCACCAGACCCTCGGCTCCTGGCTTGTAGCTACATCACTCCAGTCCCACCTCTGTCCTCTGTGCTCTGGTAACGTGTCCTCACATCCTCCTAAGACCTCGCCCAGGCTCCTTTAACACCTGTATTTCTACCAGCCACCTCTTCAAGGCAATCTGTGTTTTTCCGTCAAGTGTCCATTACCTGAGTCTTTCCGTCTCCCAGTTCACAGCCACTTCCCCGTTTTTAGGTGTCATTTCAGTAGTACCCCACTTTCACAGAGCTAGGCTTGTGATGAAGAGAAGCGGGGGTTCTGCAGGAGCCCAGAGCAGGGCCTTAACTCACCTGGCAGAACAGGGGGCCTTCCCAGAGGAGGTGACGTTTAGCCAGGCCATGAAGGGTGGGTAGGAGTTGGCAGGTGGAAGGAGGGTGTTCCAGGCGAGGACAGAGCCGGGCCAGGTAAGGAGTGCCCCCAGCCCCAGCCAGGTGTCCCTTGGGGCCCGCAGGTGTTGATGGAGTGGATCAACGCCACGCTCCTCCCCGAGCACATTGTGGTGCGCAGCCTGGAGGAGGACATGTTCGACGGGCTCATCCTGCACCACCTGTTCCGTAAGCGGCTGCTCCTGGGGCTGCCTGGGTCCCAACGGAGCCCTCAGACCCCACAATGGCCAGGTTCAAGGACACCTGTCGCACTCTCTGGATGGGTCTGGTGGGGGGGGAAGGTGGAGGCTCAGCCCACTGCCCAGTGGTCCGGCCAGCCCAGCTACTGCTTCCTGCTCACTTGTTCAGCACCCTGCCGTACTATCATTAACCCCTTTCACTGTTGAGGAAACTGAGGCTCTGAGAGGCCCAGTAACTTGTCCAAGGTCTCACAGCTAAGAAAGCAGGGGAGTCGGGACGTATGCCCAGCAGGTGGGCGTTAGCCACTAGGCCACCTTCCCTGCAGAAGTGAGTGGACACGCTTGTGGGGAAGGCCAGAGGTGTGGGCACTGGGTGGTCTGGGTGAGGGGGGCCAGCTCAGTCTGCTCTTGTCACACAGCCTGCACGCCTGTCCGTCCTGTTGCGTGTGACCAGAGGTGTTCCATGGCCCAGGGCCTGGCCCCAGGAATGTGCTCTCCGGCCCTCGCTGTCTGAAGCATCGGCCAGGCTCAGCCTCCCAGAGGGTCTCTGAGGTGCCCTGTTGTGCTGCCCTCCCCAGGGGCCCTCAACACCCTCTCCTGCCTGCAGAGAAGCTGGCAGCACTCAAGCTGGAAGTGGAGGACATTGCCTTGACCGCCGCCAGCCAGAGGCGCAAGCTTGAAGTGGTGCTGGAGTCCGTGAACCGAAGTTTGCAACTGGAGGAGCCACAGGCCAAATGGAGTGTGGACGGTACGTGGGGCCTCACCTTACGCCAGGGGAGGGGCAGAACAGCTGGATTCTTTTGTCCTGAGGTGGCCATTCTGCACCCAGGCAGGGGACACACTGGGGCCAGGAGTGGGGCAGACATGAGGCATCTGGTCTGAGCCTCACTATAGTCCAGGGTGACAGCCTTGCTGAGAGCAATAGCCACTGCTGAGTTCTCAGTGCCCTGACATGCCCACTGCCCTGTCAGGTTTCACAGATGCATGGAAATGGCGCTGCAGTCCTGCTCCCACCACGGTGAGAGTGCAGAGCGCCTCACCCGCCCTGCCCTTCCGCTCAGCGCTCTACATCCTCCCATATTCCAGATGGGAGAACCGAGGCTGAAAGCAGCGGAGGGGCTTCTCCCAGGCTGGGTGGTGCTGGTGTCGCAGAGTTGGTTTTCAAACCCGGTCCGATGCCCCGGCAGCCACCGTGAAAGCCTCACGCTCAGCTGCTGTTTATAGTGTTGCCTGTGAGCTGAGTCCCATTCAGCTTAAATCCAGGGATTCTTCAGCCACTGCCTACCCAGCGCTGTGAATGTCCTGGGGTCTAAAACACAGTCCACAAGGTAGACTGTCCCCCTCGGCTGTGTTCACAGAAGCGGGGTGACCTAGGCAAAGTGTGATTATTTGTAGGATTCTGAAATGTCTCTCTATATTGCTGTTTTCTGGAGGGCTGGGCACAGGCCTCCCCGGTTGGCAGAGGTCGTTCTGATGATGAGGGACCCCCATTCAGCTGCTGGTTTTGGCCCCCTCGACTCTTACTAGTGCTCCTCTCCCCTTTAGCCATCTTCAAGAAGGACCTGCTGGCCACTGTGCACCTTCTTGTGGCCCTGGCCAAGCGCTTCCAGCCCGAATTGCCCCTCCCAAACAACGTCCAGGTGGAGGTCATCACTATCGAGGTAACAGCCGCCCTGGGGGATATGAACGTGGCCGCTAAGCATTTTGGGGTCCTGCCTGGGGCAGGGGCTGCCCCAGTGAGCTTCAGGGATCTGTGAGAAATAGCAGGTCCCACTGGGACAGCAGGGAATCCTGGCTGGAGCTGAAATGGGCTGCTAAGTCCAATGGGGCCGCAGAGGCCCAGCAGGGGTCTGAGGGGGTCTGTGGGCCGGCTGCCCTGCTGACCTCAGCAGATGGCGTCTTCCGGGGCAGAGGCTGGTGGCAGACTGTGGCACATGGGCCACACAGGGGCTGTCTGTTTGTGGCCATTTGGGAGCCTGTAGACCACTGAGTCTAAACCGCTGCTGTGGCTGTGATGGTGCCCTGTCCTCCTCTTTCTGGAGGCCACTTGGATGTCTCCACCATGGGTGCTCCCTCTAGCCTGCACACGCCTGTGCCGAGGTTAATGCCCTGCATCCTTGGCTCCTCTGTCTGGGCTGATTCTGAGCCCCACAACAGGGCACACTCCTGCTCCTGATTCCCAGGACTGCTCCCCACAGCCTCTGGGCTCCGGTATGCAGGGGCATCACATCTGAGGCTTTACCCTGACCTGCCCTAACAGAATAAGCCACATCCAGCCAAATTCAAAGTCATTTCTACTGTTTCTAAAACCATTGATTAAAAGTCTCTACTGAGCAGTTTCATGGCTTTGTTTATACTTCTAACATAAATCAGAGGTGATTTAATTCATTCATTCATTCATGCATTCTTGATACTACCCCCTCCCACCGTGAGAAGGAGGCAGCCACAGTTCCCACCCTCATGGGGCTCAAGGCTCCCGGGAGAGGACAGCTAAGCCTGACCACAGGGCTGAGGGCTATCCAGGAAGCTGCCCTGAGCAGGGGTGAGGCAGAGCAAACTGGTCCCTTGGGGCTGCCTTGGGCCCCGGAGCATCTGGGATTACATGACCTCTTCCCCTTCATGCTTTCTTAGAGCACCAAGAATGGTCTGAAATCGGAGAAGCTGGTGGAGCAGCTCACTGAATGCAGGTGAGGGGAGGCGAGGGCCCATGTAGGGTGGTCGCAGGCTGGGAATGGGGCAGATCTGAAGCCTCCTCTCCGCCATGCTAACCCCCCATCCTGCAGTAGCATGCAAGAGTCCTTCTGTCCCCCAGCTGGACAATTGCCTGGACCCTTCTGAGCCACCATGCCAGATTTTCTGGGGTGGGGACACAGAGTTGGGATGTATGGGAAGACATATATTCCCAGTGAATATAGTGTCTTTTCTGGGGTGTGAGCAGAGTGTTCCTCTGTCCTGGCAAAGCTGCAAAAGCTGCAGAGGACCATGCATGGCCAGGGGTGTGACTGTCCTGCCCACCCAGATATGACTGCTGAGGCCTTCATCCGCTTGTCCCCTGTGTCCAGGCTCTGTCTTGTCCAGTCGGCTTTCTGGATTGTTGGGAGGAGGCCTGCTACACACAGGGGATTAGGCTGGGTGTTTTAACCCTCGCTAAGTCCAGCCAGTTGAGTCAGTTTTCTTCAGCTTATAGAAGCTCACAGGAGGCTAGGAGGTGCTTCCTGCTCCCCCTCCTCACCCCCTTTCACACATGGTCCCTGTCCCCCTGCTGTCCCAACCTTTGCCCTTCCTTTCCTCCCTTCTCTACTCCTTTAAACTCCTCCTCTTCCCTGGGCTCTTTCCCTCTTCCCAGAGGAGCTGGGATGTGCTTCTCACTCTTGGTCCAGGCTCTCTCCTGCTAGACGGTCCAGTGCCCACCACACAGGGAGCTACTCAGTACCTGTGTGGCCCTGAGCCTCTGTTTCTCTCTCTGTTAACTAAAAGTTAGGCTAAATACCATCCCACATTGACAATTTGGGGCCTCTGGTGTTTAAGAGATGCCCAGGGCACTTGGTCTGAGGGCTGCAGAGAATGGTTGGGGTCTCCAGAGGGACTCCCGTGGGCCACGGGCTGGTGGCAGGTTGCCTTCCCTGGCTCAGGGTACAGGTGGGTGAGCAGCTGCTGGGTGTCACCGGGCAATGCAGCAGCTGCCTGGTGGTGTCGAGGATTTTCTGCCTTCTCCTGTTAGCAATTGAGTATTATTTTTTTAGTTATGGATCGTTGTGGGTAATGAGTTTCCCCAAAACTTCACACCTTAAACAACAGGAAGCATTTCCTCTCCTCACAGTTTCTGGGGGTCAGGAATTCAGGAGCAGCTCAGCCTGGTGGTTCTGGCTCACAGACACTTCAGGGTCAAAGCTCAGATGTTGGCAGGGTTGGCCATCCTCTGATGGCTTGAGAGGGCCTGTTGGGACAGCACAGGGACATTTATCCCCCTGCCCCCAGTGGCGGTGGCCTTTGCGCTGACTCCTGGGTCTCTGCTGGTCCCTGCCCTATGTGGCTCCCCTCCCCTTCTGAGGGCTGCAGTCAGAGGCATCTGGCCTGCCCTGGGCCCAGAGAAACTTGGTACCATGGGGCAGAGGCAGGGCTAAAATCTTAAGGGCAAATCAAAAATGAACCATTCAAAGACAATAAAAATGGGGTAAAAGAAGGCAGGTGTGAAAGAGGACAGGCCATATGGTGTCATCTACATGAACTTGCAGGATAGACAAAGCCAACGGAAGGCAGGAGAAGTTGAAGCAGCAGCAATGTTTGTGTGGGGCGGGAGCTGAGGGTGAAGAAATGAGAGGGTGCCACGGGCGCTGGGAAGGTTCTGTGCAGACGGGGCTGATCGCACAGGGTAGGTCTAGGTACAAACACACAAGCTGCAAACTCAGGGCGTGTGCACTTTGTTGTACTTGTGACAAACGCTCTTCAAACTACACAAGAGCAGCGGATTGTAGGCGAGACAGCCTTAAGGAAGTATCTGGAACTCTTTTTGCCCCTTTTTGCCAACACCTCCCCTCACCAAAGATTCTGGAAAAACAAGCAGCACCCCAGTTCCTTGCAACCTCTCCAGCCCCGAGGCTTGCAGTGTGAAGAGGTCCTAGGTCTCCTGACGTTTTTAACCACTTATTTGCTTTTTCTTCCCTATAATGTCTCCTTTAGCACAGACAAGGACCAACCCTCAAGTGAGTACCTTGGTAATGTAAGGAAACCTCTCGGCCCTACGGGTGTTAACAGATGTGTGGTGATGGATGCTCTCCCTCGTTTATCTTGGTCTGCTCCTTGTATCTCAAGCCTTGCTCCTGCCCATGTGTCCCCCTTCTGACTGTCATCTGTCCATGGAGCCAGCTTCTCCTTCCCATGAGGCAGTTCCGTGGGGAGTTATGATGCACGTGGCAGTCATGTGGAGCCTGTTAAGTATGTGGGCCCCACAACCCAGTGGCCTGGGCCCCACACTCACTCCCTTGCTCAATAGCCACACGAACTTGGGCAAGTATTTTTACCTGTCTGTGCCTCAGTTTCCTCATCTGTAAAATGGGATTAGTAACAGCACCCACCTCTTAAGGTGGTGTTGAGGTTTAAAGGAAGAAACTTGTGGATGTGTTCAGCACGCAGTGCGTCCCCGTAGGGAGTGGTCAGTAACGCAGATTCTGCTCTTGGGACAGAGCTGGTCACCAATCAGTTGATTGATCCAGCTGCTATTTCTTTTGTTCATCCACTCCTTAGTCAGCCAGCCTGGTTAGTTGTTCATCCACCCATCCATTTGGCCATTATTCCTCTATCCATCCATCACCCCAACGGCTCATCTATCATCCACCTGCCCATCCATCCCCTACCTGCCCATCCATCCCCTACCTGCCCCATCCATCCCCCACCTGCCCATCCATCCCTCACCTGCCCATCTATCCCCCACCTGCCCATCCATCCCCCACCTGCCCATCCATCCTCTCCACCTGCCCATTCATCCATCCTTTCCACCTGCCCATCCATCCTCTCCACCTGCCCATTCATCCATCCTTTCCACCTGCCCATCCATCCTCTCCACCTGCCCATCCATCCATCCCCTACCTAACCATCCATCCTCTCCACCTGCCCATCCATCCATCTTCCTTACCTCCCCACCACTATTTTTTCTCCCTGCACCCCCCCCCACTTCAACACAGAGCCATGAGCAGGGGAAATAATGTCACCTGCAGAGGTGGAAATAATGACCTGTGAGGAGCTTCTGCGAGTGGGGGTGAGGGAGGCTGAACAGGGGCAGGGAAGGGCTGGGGGTCTGTGTATGTGTATGGAAAGGGCAAGAGGACATGGAAGTTGCCCAGGGAGCAGTGTTTTGGGCAGAGGGCAGCATGCAGGTGATGCCAAGTGGTGAGGGCAGGGACACAGACGGGGCATCTTCTGAGCACATATCTGCCTCTTCCATCCTGGATCTTCCTGTGACACAATTTCCCTAAACACAGACCAAGAGGCCTGGAAGGGACTGCTGGTGTTTCCACTGTGTTTCTGAGGCACTTTGATGTGGGTGATGCTATCGGTGAGACTTGCTCCCTTCACAAATGAGGGAACAGAGGCACAGAGACATGATGTGAGTTGCTCAGAGTCACACAGCTGCCTAGTCAACTCAGGCCTGTGTGGGTATTCAGTGCCTGAGGACTGTATCCCCCCAGGAAGGGTCTCAGCAGGAATCCAGCTTATGCACAGAGGGCAGTAGTCTGAGGACTTGGGCACCTGAGGCTGGACCCAGGGGCTAGAGCCACTGTTCCCAGGCATTGAGGGAGCAGCTCAGTGGCTGAGGATCTGGCATTTTGCACTGGACAGGTTCACATTCTCTGGGAGGACTGAAATCCTCCCTGTCAATCTGGAACCTTGGCAGACCCAGCATCAGCTCCAGTCTGGCCCCTGGTCAGCCACCGTGGCAGCACCCGTGGAGGGCCTGGAAGGAGGGTGCAGCTGAGCAGGCACAGTAATGTGTAACAGGTGTCCCCTGCGGAAGGCACACTGCCTACCATGGTCCTGCTGCATGTCCAGGCTCTGTGCCAAGTGTGAGTGTCACCTGCTGTCAGATTTGATCTGCAGTGACCCACCTACCAAGTATTGTCAACTATTCTTTATAGAGCAGGAAACTGAGGCGCAGAGAGGGGAGGTGATTCCCCCAGGCCACTTGACCAGGGAGGAGTGACTCAGATCCAGGCCTGTGTTATTCAAGAACCGTGATCTAAAACTATAGCTCCCTTTGCACGAGTGATGCTGAGACACTTTTGTGAAAAAAAATTCTGTTTGGCACGGGGATAATAGTGTCGTAACGAGGTGTTTATTGGATTTCTGTCTGCAGAGGACATCTTTGATGAATTATTCAAGCTGGCCCCAGAGAAAGTGAACGCAGTAAAAGAGGTAGGGAACATCAAAGCCGCCATGGCTCTGGGAGGGGATGACCCTTGCTCCACACCTGCAGTGCGTCAGTGCTGCTGGGCTGGCGGGGAAGCGTTATCACCCCTGGAGGGAAGGTGGCAAACTGGAGCCTCGGGCTGGGGCCCTATTCTTCCCTGGGCAGGCCATCGTGAACTTTGTCAACCAGAAGCTGGACCGCCTGGGCCTGTCCGTGCAGAATCTGGACACGCAGGTGAGGACTCAGCTGTGGGGTCCCCAGGCAAGGGAGGGCCTCCTGGTGTAGGCAGGAAGGAGGGATCCACAGGGTCCAGGAACCTGCTAGGGGGTATGAGGGTTGCATCACCTCCTGGAGCCCCCAGGTCCTCCTCCCCAATGGGGGTGTACCTGGCGGGCAGATTGTCCTCCAGGGCCACTGTGGGGTCAGTGTTTTGAAAGTGGCTGTGGCTTTCCACAGTGATCCTGTGCCCTGTGGTGTTCCCACAATAGGGTAGTGGGCAGGCCACTCACTGCCAGCCAGGGGGCTTCTGGGTGGGGCGGGAGCCTGCTGGACTCTGGAGGCCTCTACTGGGCACGATATTGTGGAGATCAGACCACCTGGGTTCTGCCATGAGCTGGACCAAATGACTTATGAAGATCTCAGCTGGAGCTGCTGACCTTGGACACACTCTAGGTGGATAGTAGCCAGGAGGGGTGGGGCCAACAGGCTCCCATGCCTGGTATCCCAGGCCAGTAAAGCCCTCACTGTGCGGCAGGCCCCAAACACAGTGCGTCCCACACATTAATCCATGGAACCTGCCCAGCAACCCCTGCGGTGGCAACTGATACTGCCCAATTTTATAGACGATCATGTTAAGGTGAAGAGGTTAATTAACTTGTCCAAGGTCTCGCAATAATAAGTGGTGAGCTTGGGGCCATAGTCTGTGCTTATACATCTCACATGACAGCCACAAGAAAAGTTTGTGTATGATATGGTGTGGCAATGTGGAGGGGTAGAACTACTTGACTCTGAAGCCAGGTGAACACGTCTCCATCCTGCCTGTGCCACTTATGACTCCTGGGTTCCGAGGACACATCTTCCACATTATCAGTGAGCCCTTGGGCAAGTTATGGGGCTTCTCTGAACATAAGGCTCCTCTTCTTATAAGATAGGCACAAGCATTCCAATCTCAGAATCCTGAGTGATTCATGAGCTGTGTTGAGTATATTACCTGGCATACTGTGGATGTGCAATAAATGATAGTTTGTGCTTTCATTGCATTTCACACGGGGATAAACAAGGCAGTCTCATAGGGTTACATTCCACCTGTTGTCTTTAATCTCTCCCTTGCTAATAAAATGGCTTTTGGAAGCTAATGGCACATCCAAAGGTGGCATGTAAAAACTGTTCAGTAGGAGGGGACATTGAGGTCTCTGCTCTTCCAGGTGTATTTCCAAGGAATATCAGCAGGAAAGATTTCAGGCCCAAACTAATAATGCTGGAAAAGACTTAATATGAGGAAATTCCATTCAGGACTTTGAATGGTGGTTTCTCCAATATCCAGTCTTGTGTTTTGTTTCTTTGAAGAGATTCAATAGGATTATATTAGCACATGATATGCTGGTGGCAGCAACGATGGGTTTATCTCTGAACATACAGACAGAACAGACAGAAATATTAATGCAGCAGCTGGCAAAACAAGCCTGTTGTACGGTTGTCTGCTTTTTCTCGATGGAATAATTGTATACTTAACTCTATTTTCTCCTGTGTTTCTGTAGCTCAGGAACAGTGAGTTGTTTAAAAATGATATGAGAGCATTCCAAAGCAAGTTTAGAAACAGCTGTTTTTACTGAGTGTATACTATGTAGCAGGAAGCCTAAACTGCTTGATCCCTGTTATTCACAGCAATGCTGTGGGCTTGGGAACATCTTCCCCATTTCTCAAAAAGGAACCTGAGGCTCAGAGAGGTTGTGTAACTTCCTCAGGGCCACACAGCCTGTAGGAGGCAGAGTGGGCTCCCCCCGCCTCTCCCACCTGAGAGCCCAGTCCCTTCCTCTGTAGTTCGCAGATGGAGTCATCTTACTTTTGCTGATTGGACAACTGCAAGGCTTCTTCCTGCACTTGAAGGAATTCTACCTCACTCCCAGCTCTCCTGCAGAAATGGTGAGTCTTCCAGAGATCTTCCTCGATGGTCTACCTCTGGGTAGACAGATCAGCGGAATTGGCACAACTGTTTATTCACTTCCAGGTGAAGTGAAGTGTAGAAGGGAAGTTTGGTTGTCTGTATGTCTGCCTGTCCAT